TTTATCTAAATAAAATTATTAAGAATTATTTCTGTTAAAGTTCAGCTAGCTTCCATCTTATTTGTTGCAATCCTAAGAAAAATTAGAACAGCACAGGTATATTTTTAATGATTTAACCCCTTCCCCGGCAGAAACATGTATACTTGTTTTCACAAAATGTTCTTTTTCAGTCGTCGACGAGTATACTAAGAAAATATGGTAAAAAAATATGGTTTATAGGAAGACGAATTACAAACTGTTTTCATAACCAGCATCAAAAATACTATATAGAACCAAAATAAAAAAATTAGTCTGAAAAAGAAACGTTTTTAACAAAAAAATTATTGGGGAAGGGGTTAAGATATAATATATGAATTTAGTCCCATTGACCAAATGTATAGAATTTTATTTTCTTATTACACTTAGATTTAGTAAGTTTATTCTTAGTTATCTAGTAAATTGGGGAATGTTCAACATTTATCTAATACATCTTCATATTTCATTCTATTTTATACTAGTGGCCCAGTGCACAGATTTATGCACATTGAAATTAATTAAAAGAAATATTTTAATATTGCTATTTGCCCTTTTTTTTTATAATAGAAGTGTCAGAGATGAAAGAAAATTAGTAAAATGCATATGAAAATAATATATAAATTGATTAATAAACAGTAACAACATGATATAACAACAAAAACATATAAAAACAACAAAACATATAAAAACATGAAATAAAACAACATTGATAAAAACAATGACTGATTAAAATTGATTAAACCTCATGCTTTAGAGATACTCCCTGCTTCCTTACTAATGATATATTTTATACTAGAGGTATGTTTGATCACAGCACAGTTTTTTTGCGCATACTGGTACTCTGAGGATCACATTAAGCATGCAGTTGAGTTCTGCTACAATGTTTGGCCCTCAAATGTTTTATAATTAGATTATAACATTGTTAATGTAGCTGGAATGCAAATTTATTACTTTCTATTATAATTTGATATACTTAATCTATGTTCATTGTGACTGCTGTGAATATTTTGGCCTTAACTAAGCTATTTTTTCCTCCTAGAGACGTCACTAATATCTATTGGCACAGTAACGCAATTGTAGAACGGATTGAATACAACAAACTTAAGACATTATCAGGCAACATTTATATATTAAAAGGGATGATAGACCGGATTTCCATGAAAGAAGCAGGTAATGACTCGTTATTAATTGATAAGTCATTTTAATAAGTGAAGCAATTAACCATATTTCTAATAGTAATATATATTTTTTACTTTTAATTAGGTGTTTTAAAACTGAATCAGTCAAAACTAAAAATTAAAAACAGAATTGACCACATTATGTAAAACTATTTGACAGTTTAAATAAGTCCAGTGATTTTTATTTATTTATTGTTTTAATTAAGGGAAGTGTTCCTTATTTGGGAAGAATTGCTTTATAAGAATATAATGTAACTCCATAGGTCCTCTCTTTGTTGAACCTGTCCTACACAGCCGCAGTCTTGGTATAATCTGATTTTCTGTCTGTGACTTGCACGCAGCTAATAGGATTGAAGAAACCACATCTGAGCAGTCCGAAGGTCGATGCTCTATCCACTGAGCCAAACCGGCTAGGGCTACTTCATATTTTTACAAGCATCTGCTCCCTCCTCTTAGGAGGGGGTAGGGTAGGGGAAGGAGGGTATGACCTGAGCAATAAGAACAATCAGAAGAACGTTTTCTCATATATTCTCATTTTCTTGCACCTAGAGCTGCTTTTATATGGATGAATAGTCCATATTTCTGTCTGTGTCAGCATCTGCATTTGTACCTTAGCTCCCATTTTCCCTTTTACTCAAATATATCACTGTAGTAATTCTCCCTTCTATCAAAAACAATTCCTCTTTTCTTTTTTTAGAGAACAGTCCTTTTAACCACATTTCTTTTAACTACTCTCAATTACAGCAAAGCAACTCAGAAGATTTGTTATATCTAATTCCTCTTGAGCTTTCCCCCCATTTTTTCCTTGAATTCTCTTTAATTATGCTTTAATCCCCAATTCTTCACTGAAGCAGCTCTTATCAAAGTCACCAATGGCTCCCACACTGCTAAATTCAGTATAAACTTGACACAGTTAATCTTACCTACCTCTTTGAAACACTTTTTTTAAAATCTTTATTGTTGAAAGTGTTACATATGTCCCCTTTCCCCCCACCATTAATCCCTATTAGCCTGCCCCCGTCCCCTCACCCAGGCCTTCTCCATCCCATTGTCTGTGTCCATGGCCATGTTTATATGCATACCAAGTCCTTGGTTGATTACCTCCTACCCCGCCTTCCCTCCCCTGCCTGGCTTCTGAGATTCCTCACTCTGTTCCATGCTTCTATGTCATTGGATCCACTTAGATTCCACATATGAGTGAGATCATGTGATACTTGTCTTTCTCCGACTGACTTATTTCACTTAGCATGATACTCTCCAGTCCCTCCATGCTGTCTCAAAGGGTAAGCAATTCTTTTTTACTGCTGCATAGCATTCCATGGTATAAATGTACCACAGCTTTTTTATCCACTCATCTACTGATGGGCACTTGGGTTGTTTATAGATCTTAGCTATTGTAAATTGTGCTGCTATAAACACAGGGTGCATACATTCTTTCTGATTGGTATTTCGGATTTATTAGGATATATTCCTAGATGTAGAATCACTGGTCAAATGGCAGTTCCATTTTTAATATTTTGAGGAAACTTCATACTGTTTTCCATAATGGCTGCACCAGTCTGCATTCCCACCAGCAGTGTACTAACTAGGGTTCCCTTTTCTCCACATCCTCTCCAGCACTTGTCATTTGTTAATGAAACACTTAACTTGGCTTCTAAAATACCATATTCTGAATTTCATGCTGTCTCACTCCCTGTTCCTTCTTTGTTTCTTTGCTCATTTTTCTTTTTCCTTGCCTCTTAATAATGGGGTAGATTAGGGCTTTTTCTACATTCAGTACTATGCTGATTTCTTTGAGGCTTTAAATCTTAATCTATGTCGTGACAAATGCCAAATTTATATCTCTAACGAGAAATACTCTTCTGGCCACTCAACTTACTTTCCATCTGCCCATTTGACATCTCCATTAGGATGCCTACAGGCATCTCAAACTTAATATAGTCATGTATCACTTAATGACAGGGATTCATTATGAAAAAACATTGTTAGGTGGTTTTGTGATGTAAACATTATAGAGTGCACTTACACAAACATAAATAGTGTAGCCTACTATACACCTAGGCTGTATAGCATAGTCTATTGCTCCTAGGCTACAAACGTATACAGCATGTTACTGAATACTATAGGCAATTGTAATGCAATGGTAAGTATTTGTATATCTAGATATGTAGAAAAGGTACAGTAAAAATATGGTTTAAAAGATAACAAATCGTAACCAGTGTAGGTAATTTACCATGAATAGAGCTTACAAAATGAATTGCTCTAGGTGAGTCAGTGAGTGAGTATTGAGTGAATGTGAAGCTAGGACATTACTGTACACTACTGTAAACTTTATAAACACTGTATACTTAGGCTACATTAAATTTATAAGAAAACATTTTTCTTCAATAAATTTACCATAGCTTACTGTAACTTCAACTCTAAACTTCTTAATTTTCAGCTCTTGGAATAACTTACCTTAAAACACAAACACATTATACAGCTGTTTAAAAATCTCTCTTTAGAACAGTATGGAGTTTTCTCAAAAAACTAAAAATGGAACTCCCATTTGACCCAATGATCCCACTTCTAGAAATATATCCCAAGAAACTAGAAACACCAATCAGAAAGGCTATATGCACCTCTATTTTCATAGCAGCACAATTCACTATAGCTAAGATTTGGAAACAGTGTAAGTGCCCATCAGCAGATGAGTGGATTAGAAAACTGTGGTACATCTACACAATGGAACACTACGCTGTGGTAAAAAAGAAGGAATTCTTACCATTTGCAACAGCATGGATGGAACTGGAGAGCATTATGCTCTCATAGTATCACATGATCTCACTCATTTCTGGACTATAATGAACAATATAAACTGATGAACAAAAACAGATCCAGAGACAGAGAAGCATCGATCAGACTGTCCAACCTCAGAGGGAGGGTCGGGGAGGATGGGAGTAAGGGAGAGATCAACCAAAGGACTTGTATGCATGCATATAAGCCTAACCAATGGACACAGACACCAGGGGGGTGAGGGTATGAATGGGGAGGTGTGGGGGGGGTGGGAATGGGAGGATAAAGACATAATGTAATACCTTAATCAAGAAAAAAATTAAATAAAACTTTCTTTATATCCTTATTTTTTTAAATATATTTTATTGATTTTTTTACAGAGAGGAAGGAAGAGGGATAGTCAGAAACATGAATGAGAGAGAAACACCGATCAGCTGCCTCCTGCACACCCCCTACTGGACATGTGCCTGCAACCAAGATCCACGCCCCTGACCTGAATCGAACCTGGGACCCTTCAGTCTGCAGGCTGACACTCTATCCACTGAGCCAAACCGGTTAGGTTATATCCTTATTCTTTATTAATAGCTGTGAGTAATGCATTGCACTGTGACTTCATAACACTGCACTGTCACTAGGTGATACCCGTTTTTTGATGTCACAATTACAAAGTCACTAGGCAATGCAAATTTCTCAACTCCATTATGATCTAATGGGACCACCTTTATATACACACGCAGCCCATCATTGTTAACCAAAATGTCCTTATGCAGTGCATGACTGTATATCTAAAACCTGATCTTCTCCCTTAAATCTGCTTAATCTACAGACTTCCCCCTCTTTCCAGGCTTCCAGTGGCTAGCTAAAATCCTTGGGGACATCCTTAAGTCCTAGATTTCTTTCCCACACACATTAATGTGTCAGTATGTCCTATTGGCATTATCGCCATAATATATTCAGAACCTAGGCTTCTGCTGACCATTGTGGTCCAAACCTCTCTCTTGTTCTGAGTGATTGCAGTAACCTCCTAACTGGTCTCCTTGTTTCTTCCATTTTCTCCCATTATACTTCCATAGACTCTTCTCAAAATAGCAGCTATTACAGTCCAATTAAAGTCAATAGCTTAACTTAAAACCCAAGCACATTATACAGCTCCTCTGGTCATAGCATTTCCATAGCTTTCTTTCTCACTCAAAGTAAGAGACTATGCCTGTAAAATGACTCCAAGACCTTATAATCTCTCATGCTCCCACACTACCTTTGTTACCCATCTGAGTATCCTCCTGGTACTAGTCTCTCCTCACTACACTTTAACTTTACTAGTCACTTTGTTCTACAAAGGCAGCCTTTTGTTTTATTCTCTCTGCTTCCAATGTTTTAACCTTATATTACCATGTGGCTTTACTTCAAGTCTCAAGGTTTCCGCTGCTATTTCAGTAAGAATATCTCTATCCTTTTTTTAAAAATCTTTATTGTTGAAAGTATTACAGATATTCCCTTTTGTTTGTTTTTCCCATTGACTGCCTGCACCGCTCTATTGTCTATGTCGGTGGGCTATGCATATAAGTTCCCCCGGTTAATTACTCCCCACCCACTCCCGCTTTCCCTCCGAAATTCGTTAGTTTTTTCTGACTATACTTTTTTAAAATATATATATTTTTCATTGATTTCAGAGAGGAAGGGAGAGGGAGAGAGAGATAGAACTCTCAATGATGAGAGTCATTGATTGGCTTCCTCCTGCACGATCCAGGGGAATCAAGCCTGCAACCCAGGCATGTACCCTGACTGGGAATCGAACCATCACCTCCTGGTTCATAGGCAATGACCTCCTGGTTCATAGGGCGATGCTCAATCACTGAGCCACACCAGCTGGGCTTGACTATCCTTTTTTAAAGATGCTGTCTGCATGAATACACTGATATTTCTGTTCCCCCTCAACTGCATAATTTTTCTCCATAGCATTAATAATCATTTAACAAGATATTTTACTTGTTGGTTTGCCTTCTGTTTCACACTAGAAGGCAAGTTCCATGAAGGTATGGATTTGGGTTGTTTTGTTAATTGCTGAATCCTTGTATCTGCAACAGTGCCTGACTGGCACATAGTAAACAGTGTGTGTGTGTGTGTGTGTGTGTGTGTTTTAATGAATTAATGACATGTCTTTAAAATTCTAGGTTTTTAGATAATTTTGTTTGTTTGTTATTACATAGGCTATCCATATTATCTCATAAGGAAGTTTATGTTTGGCTTTCCAGAAAATTGGAAAGAGTACATTGATACTTTCCTAGAACAATTAAGGTAAAGTACTTTTTATATTTTAAAAAAACAACTTTATTGAGGCATAATTTTCATTTGATAAAATGCATCCATTTTAGGTGAGCTTTTAAAAATGTATACTTAACCAGTGTGAAGTGGTTTTAATTTCTTTTTTATGGAAAATAAAACCTTGGACATTTCAAGGAGTCATCCGTATTATATCCTTTAAGAGTCAAATAGCTGTTAAACAGGAGTCTGAAGTTCATGGTCCTTTTTTCTTTCATTCATTCCCTCTGTAGTTACTCTGTTGGCACTGGGGAAAACAAGGGAGAATTTGGTTAATTCTTGCTTTTAAGGAACTCATAGGGATGGAGTGATGTAAGTTAGTCACAAGACAGGGATTGACAATTTTTTCTGTAAAGGGCCAGATAGTAAGTATTTTTATGGGCATGCTGTACTACAACTGCTTCAACTAGAGGAAAAGCAGCATCAGTTCCTCAATGAATGTGGCTATGTTTCAGTAAACTTTATATTATACTTGAGTTTTTTGTGGGAAAGGGGATGGAAGCCATGAAGGCGTAAATTATGTAAGGTTAAAAGTAATCTTTACTATGGTGAAGAACTTTGAGGGAATTTTTTTTATTTTTTGGTATAGTGTTAGTGTTAAAGGTTAGGTTAGGGTTTGGTTTGAGTTCAAAATTATGGTTAGACTTAGCTTTAGGATTAGGTATAAGGTTAGGGCTAAAAGTTAGTTACGTTTAGGATTAGTCTTTGGTTTAGGGTTAGTTTAAAAATAAGGTAGGGCTAAGGTTAGTTTTGAGGTTAGGTGTAATATTTGGGATTAGGGCACGGGTCCTCAAACTACGGCCCGCCGGCCACATGCTGCCCACCGAAAACATTTATCCGGCCCACCGGTGTTTTTGCCACCGCTGTGTGCATAGGAATTTGTTCATAGTTTTTTTTTAAACTATAGTCCGATCCTCCAACAGTCTGAGGGACAGTGAACTGGTCCCCTGTTTAAAAAGTTTGAGGACCCCTGGATTAGGGTTAGGGTGATGGCTCAGTTTAGGGAAAAGTTTTAGAATTATAGGCTTATTGTTAGGGTTAGTTTTAGAATTAGAGTAAGGTTTCTGGGTAACTTTAGGGTAAGGGTTAGGATTAGGTTTAAAATTAGGAACAGTGTTAGGATTAGAGTTAAGCTTAGGGTTGGTATATTATAGTTAGGGTTAGAGTTAGTATTTTATTTAGGGTTGAAGTTAGGTCATAGGAGAGTTTCATTTTTTTGTGGGTTTTATTTTTTTGTTTTCAGTTTTTGAGAACCAACATTAGAGGGAAAATAATGTATGTTTTTAGGGCTTGTGAAAAGAAAAAGAAAAAGGCCATACAAACACAGAAAAGTGGAAGATTTGTGCCCGACATAGGAAAGTCAATGAAAAATGATGCAGGAGTAAACCAAACAGATGGCCTCCAAAGAACCAGCACCATTTATGACCTTGATTGTAACCATTTGGGTATGTTTGCTCTTTTCTTCTCTATTGGTACAGTGGTGTATTCTTACATGAACCCCACATTGTTAATTGTTTACAGTGCATATAGTCTTGAGTTCTCATCTGGTCCTAAAATTTGTGATTTTTCACTACTTGGAGAAAAACTACAAAGCAGATAGCTCATAGTCAGCATTCAACTTACTTCATTAAATGTTACCTTTTAATTAACCTGATAAGCATATCAGTGAAAGATAATTGTTCTTTCAGTTTCCTAGACACAGGGTATTTAGGCTGCTAACCTACCTCAAACCTATATATTAAACTAGAAGCCCAGTGCACAAAAATTTGTGCACTCGGGGCAGGGGCGTTCCTCAGCCAGGCCTGTGTCCTTTCACAGTCTGGGACCCCTCCGGGGATGTCCACCTGCTGGCTTAGGCCCGCTCTCCAGGGGGATTGGGCCTAAACTGGCAGTCAGACATCCCTCTGGCAGCCCGGGAGCCCTTGGGGGATGTCCACTTGCCAGCGGGGAGCAGGCCTAAGCTGCAGTTGAATATCCTACCACTGCTGTGCTGGCAGCTGGCAGCCTGCCTTGTAGCTGAGCAGAGCTCCCCCTGTGGGAGCGCATCTGCCCCCTGGTGGTCAGTGTGTGTCATAGTGACCAGTCATTCCCAGTCGTTCTGCTGTTGGGGTCAATTTGCATATTATCCTTTTGTTATATAAGATACTGTATGCCTAATTTGTACCAAATTTTATTCTTGTTAATAGACAATACCAGTTTGCTTTTATGGGGGTAGTGGCATGTTTTTTGAATGACCATTACTATAAAGGTAGCTGGCAAAACTGTTCTGTGTCACCTCTTTGCCAAAACTATAATTTGCCTCACAGCCTTTTCTAGAAAATATAGATGAATAAAAGTTAATTAGAATATGTTCTATAAATTTATGTCAATTCTACCTTGACTTTATAACAAAGAGCTTTACAGGATTGCTTCTACCAAAATCATGACACCATATTGAGTATAAGTTCCCCCCTGCACCCCACTTCCCTGTGTTCATAGGGCCCTCCTTTGTAATTTTGCTTATCCTTTCTAGTACAAAGGAATGGAATAAATATGTAGATGATTGCTTGCTCAGAGCTAGCTAAAAGTCACTCTATTCTAGTTTCTTCTCAACCTTTCCTCATTTTTTCAAAAGTGATCCTATTTGCCTGTAAATTTAAAATATTGCTCATTGTCATTGCTAGACCATCTTCAGTATTCTGGAGTCCTGGGGCTACAGCAACTGCTATATACTTTTTTACTCTTAAATACAAAATTCCTAAAAGTATATCTCACTTTTATCATTTATTAATCTTCTTTAGTCTTAGATCTTAAGCAGTGTTTTTCATAAATTTTTAAATTGTGAATGTTACTGGTGAAGTGTTTGAAGATACAAATGTAAAATGCTAAAAGTTTGGTAAACTATCTTACATGCTACCTGTGTCCATAAGAAAATAATTCAACAAATAATTTTTAAAGCACTTTCCATGAACCTTGATCTTTGTTAGCTGTTAGCAATTTAGAAATGAATAAGAGGAGATGATACCTCTCCTTTGGGAAGCTCAGGTTAGGAGCAAATATTAGTGGATTTTTTTTTAGGTGTATCATTTTTCCAGTGTGATTTATTAAATCTTTGTTTTGTGAAACTGTTAAGACATTGTGTGTCCTCATATTACATAAGTTATTTTGAGTGGTGGTGGTGGTTGGTGCTGTCTTTTTTTATGAGAAAACCACTGAAATAAAACAAAACCACGTCTAACATTAAACAACTAAAGGTATGCAAAGGCACTAATCAGTGATAATTTAAGTTGATGTGATCGTGTGTGTGATTTACCTAAAATGTGGTTTTGCATATTTAGTGCTATAATCTATATGTCATAGTATTGTATTAAAATACTTAATGTCTGTTATACTTAACCAGAATTTATTATAAGTGACCTATTATAATAGCCTTCTTCACCATACTGTAATAATCTCAGGAAGGACCATCCATATGTATTTTCAAATGCAGCTTCTAGAATAATAATAAAAATGTTTCTATAGTTTTACAAGTCCTTTTTAACTTATCTAGAATTTTAGCTCAATAGCTGTTTCTTAAGCCTATATTGTATACTATAAATTTGGTTTTGCTTAAAATTTTAATTAGTGCCCTAACCGGTTTGGCTCAGGCTTGCGGACTGAAAGGTCCCGGGTTCGATTCTGGTCAAGGGCATGTACCTTGGTTGTGGGCACATCCCCAGTGGGGGGTGTGCAGGAGGCAGCTGATCAATGTTTCTAACTCTCTCTCCCTTCCTCTGAATTCAATATACATGAAGAAAAATAAGGGAAATAGAGATATTCATTTTCTGTTTAGTTGGTACAGAGTTTGGACGAACAGGAATTTGTATTTAAAAAATGGGTTAATGTTTCTATTTTGCTTTAGATGTGACAAAGGAGATTCAAAATAGATAATAAGGAATATTATGGTTGTCCACCCCTTCCTTCCTTCCTTTCTTTCTTCCTTCCTTCCTTCCTTCCTTCCTTTTTTCCTTACTTCTTTACTTTCTTTCTTTAGAATAAAAGTGATTTGAACAAAATATGGCCCTATGCAAAGTGGTTCTGTCCAAATAAAATTGCTTTATGTCATAACCAAATTTAACAAATATTTGTGACATTGGATTAGACAGACTTTTTCAGAGTGAGTTCTTAATGGGGATGAGCAGCTTAACTTTTATATAATCATTTATCTAAACCTTCATCTTTGTACTCATAGAACTGAAGAAGAATAAGCACAGTACATTGCCAGGAGCTATAGAATTAAACATTTGCCAGAGTAATCCTCAAAATAAACCACCGTTAAGCTTCCCAGATAACCAAATAAAGAATACTGTTCAAAATGGGGGAGAATATGACTTAACTAATCAGGTAAGCTTTTATTGTATACTGTACAGGGGTGGTGTGATACTGTTGAAAACATTAGAGACCAAATGAGAAATCATGAGTTCTCTTTGTTAAGTTTTGCTTTTTATTAGTTTAGGCATAGTAGGTAAATGTCTTGATATTTATTTTCCTGGTATCTCACTGGAAAAGTGCAGGCAAGAATAACAAAGTTTTAGCTATAGAGTAAGGTTTAAATAGATAGAGAATGAGAGAGAGAGAGAGAGAGAGAGAGAGAGAGAGAGAACACGCACATGCACATTTTAAATGATAGTATTAAATCGGTAAAGAAAATGTGAGAATGTGGTTACCCACATGATGCTTCCAAAGCTTGAGCTTTGAATACCTCTACTAATGAAATTTCTGTAAGTGCCTAGAAATTGTGTGCTTGATTCATACTGTAAAATGCTTATAGTCATGTTTATAGGTAGTACTTGTTATAGTAAAAAGTTATCTTTTGATTTTTAAGGAATTGATTGGAAAAAGTGAATATAAGAAGTTATCTTCAAAGAAACTCAAAAATTGTGAAAGAACAAATAAAAAGATAATTAAAAATCAGGAGCAAGGTAATATATCCTTATTATTGTTTTATTTTATAACTAAAGGCCTGGTGCATGAATTCGTGCCTGGATGGGGCCTGGCTGCCCCACCCCAATCGGGGCCAGGCTGGCTGGGGAGAGGGGACATGGAAAATTGGCCAGCCGGGCCCACCCCCAGTTGAACTCCCGGTTTTATTATATAGGATAAGTAGAAAGTTACTATTTGAAATTTTTTAATATAATAAAAGTGATTTTATAAATTTCTAAATCTGAAATGATAGACCAACTGTTTTAATGCTTATTAAATATTTGGTGTTATCTTTTTACAGAAGATAATTTACAAAATGAAATAATTCATTGCTTTAAATATAGATTCACTTATACGTTTGCTTTCTTTAATCTAGGTAGCTTTACATTTTTAAATCACAAAATATATATTATTTAAATATGCTTCTAGTATTGTTTAAAGACAGTCTTTTTATTAAATTGTAATAGGCCATAATTTAGTTTTGTATAAGTGTGCATTTTTCAGAATGATTTCATTGAAATCCTGCATACCTGAATATATAGAACCTTTTCTCTATGCATTAGGGAGTTTAACACTTAATGTTTAATTGAATCTATTAGCTTAATAGCATTTTTTTCTACTTTATTGCTTATAAGTGAAAAATGAAAGTGGAGAACATTTATAAGTGTGTAAAAAAGTAGACTGAAGAGCAATACTACTTACCAAGTTTACATGACTTAAATAAAAGTATCCAGAATAGGCTGTATCTTTATTCAGGTTATTTAATGAAATTAATAAAAAAATGTTTTGCTCAAACTTAGAGAGCATAAAATTTTTAAATTGCCAGTTGAACATTTGAATCACATTTATAATAAGGAATTAGAAGAAAACACTTCAACTCATAATGTGAAAATATATAATTCCATTGAGAAGTCTTGTGGAAACTTTCTTGTTTTTTGGTTAGTACCATTTCATGAATTATAATTTAGAAGATTCTTTTATTTTTGTCATTCATCTTTTAAATGTCACATAATATATGTAGATTGTTGGTAGTATGTCACTGTGATGATTGGTGTGATAATTTACAGATTATATCTATTTATAATTATAGCTGGATAATTTAAAGTTAGAAACTAATAGTTTAGCTTCTGGTTTCTTAAGTTTTAGAGTTGAGAATTTCTCTCATTTAATTTGTTTTCTTGAAGTAATAATATGGTATAATAAAGACTCTCAAGTTTTGTTTTGGTTCTTTTCCCATGATGATTCATAGAGTTTTTGGGGATTCAGCAAAAGATTGCCTTGATGGCTACCATTAGGGATGAATGAGAATGAGGCTGTGCAAATGGAGTTACATGTTCTTCTAATTCCCTTCTTAACTAATATACCTTCTGTTTCATATGTTACATACCTAGTAAGGTTTTAGCAGCCCAACAAATATTTATTTAGCATCTACTACATATGTGACTGAACTAACTCCAGTAAAATGAAGATAATTCACAAATGAAAACAAAGTTGTTAAGTATACTTTTCAGACTAGTTGAAAGATTAGACAAGTGTAATTATATGCAGGGCGCATTGTCAAACATGGCATTATTTTAAAATAGTCTGGAAATTTGAAAGAGCTTTCATTCAGTTGAGGAAATCAGGACAAAGTTTATGGACCAGGTAGGTTAGAGTGTAAGATTGAAACAGGTAGTGATTTGGTTTGTAAATGAGAAAGGAATTTTCCAAGTAGATAAAATTTGAGAAACAGTGGTCTTACAGACATAGAATATGGTTCAGACATGAATGCAGCGAGTGAACTGTAATGAAGGCCAGGTAGAGGAACTTATATGCACACTAAGTATACTATGAGAAGTCCTGGACAAGTTGGTATTAAAAAATAGTATGTTTACAGTCAAAGGGATGGTGATCTAAACAGACTGGTGTTTCAGCAAGATTAATATGACAGTGGAGTTTGTGGTGGGAAAACAATATATTTGTGAAAACAGTTTTTTAAATTTTGTTCGTAGCTAATTTGAGATTTTGATCTTTGGTTTTATCTTATGAAATTCAAGAGCAAACCGAAGAATCGAAGGTATCCATTGATATTATCATCTCAGGGAAATCACCTTTCTCAGATGAAGAAAGAAAATATGTGGCTACTAATCAGAAGGAAGTCTGTGTTTTGATAACACCACTTAAATCTAAAAATGTGATAGAGCAAAAATGCATGAAGTATAATGTATCGTCTGGTGCCGTTAAAGCAGTAACAGATTTTATAGTGCCAAAGCATCAAAAAGAAAGTGAATCAGACTTAAATGAAACTACATGTCCAATTAGTAAGCCCAGAAAGACTTTCAAGGATGTATTTGAGAGTGACGTGGGTCATACAAGCGAAAACAAGAAGGATTGCATTGAACGTGATATACTCACTGTCAACCAGAAAATAATACCTAGTTCTAATAAGAAACAAACGGTCACCTCTGACTTTAAGAACAATACAAAGTTGTTATCAACATCGAAGAAAATTGAAAAAAATCAAGTAACAAATCAAGATTTGTCTGCTGAAATGGAAAAGAAAATAAAAGCTGGGGATATTAAGAAGACCACAACAAGAAATACCAAAGAAAGAGTAGTTCACCAAAGAAAAAGCAGAAGGAACATCACTGGAAAAATCTCAGTGACCTCTGAATCTGAAACTGAAGAAAGTGAAACTGAATTTCATATCCTAAAAAAGAAAGCTAGATGTTCTGCTGAAATAAATTGTCAGAAATCTGATATTAGGAATGAGTTACCATTTATTAACAAAATAGGATCTGGTGAAACGAAGAAGCATTCCTTAGAATGTTTACCTGGTTTAATTCTGGAAGAAGAATGGAATGAGAAGGAATTGGAGAAGCTTCATTGGTAAGTAGTTAGATTTGACTCTGAAATATCCTGAGTGGCCACAAAATAGTTGAAGACATGAAGAATCCAATGAGGGAGTGATTTAATGGTTTATAATCATTAAAATGGAATATGTCATCCAAAAACACATAACGAAAAATTACAATTTATACAGAGAATGGAGGGAAAATATAGATAACTGCCATCTACATGTGGCCATTTATACAGTATACATATGAGCTTTTCATTCCCATTTAATACTGCAAGCATACACCTCCCCTTCCCATCCCCCATCTACTGAAGAAAAGTAATATGTGAGGGGGTGGATGTGTTACTTGTTTGTGGTGATCACAATGTATGTATCAAATGATCATGGGTAGACTAAATATATATAACTTTTCAGTTATACCTCAATAAACCTGAGAATATATTTCAACATAGACAAATGCTGCTCTCTCACAGCCTCACATTTTACGAAATCCTATATAATAAAGATGTAGTATGCAAATGGTCATTACGCTGTGAAGCATAACGACCGACTCCGTAACTACTTGCTCACAGATCAGCAGAAGGGTGGGGCAGAGAGCTATAGGAGGGGGCAGGGTAGCAAGCTATGAGGGGCAGAGGGAGCTACAGGAGGGGACAGAACAGCAAGCTATGAGGTGGGGTGGGGGAAGCTACAGGAGGGTGACAGCGAGCTACTGGCGCATGGATTCGTGTTCAGGGCTACTAGTATTTTATAATTAAATTCACCATTATAAAATCTTCAAACACAGATTATTTAATGGTCCCCCCCCCTCCATTTATTTAAAAATTTTTTTAAATAGATTTCAGAGAGGAAGGGAGAGAGAGAGAGAAATATCAGTGATGAGAGAGAATCATTGAGTGGCTGCCTCCTGCACGCCCCCACACTGTGGAACAAGGCCACAACCCAGGCACGTGCCCTGATCGGGAATCCAACTGTGACCTCCTGGTTCATAGGTCGGCACTCAACCACGGAGACATATTGGCTGGACCCCCTCTCCCTCCAACCCCCCCATTTATAGAGAAGAAAATAGCCCCAGAAATTAAGTGATTTTTCCTAGATTTCATAACTATTGCTGCTGATAACTGGATTTGGCTACATGGACTTGACAAGCAATATCAGTAGTCTAGTAGTATTAGAAGCCATAATTGAGCAATGAAGAGTGAATGGGATAATAAAGACAACTTAGAGGAACAGCACAAGAAGTTTGGCAATGCTGGGAATAGAAAAGCATAGGTGATAGAGAAGGAATACGTGTGTTTGGTTGCTTGCTTAATTTGTAATTTGACTCATTGCCATAGTATGGTGGTTTGCTGATGGGAATTATCTAATAGAAAGGAAGATATGAGTGGTAAAAAAGAGAGGATAACTTAGGAACATAGCAATTCAGTGTTCCACTCCTTTTTGCACCCCCAAACGTTATAATATTTGGAATTCATTTTCAAATCTGCCTTCTTTAAATGTTCTTCTGAAGGCATCTCTGTGCCACTATACTCTTCCATTTTCAATTGCCTAAATGTAACTTCTCTTCTTCAGACACAGAAGGTAATCTTCATTCTTATTCTCCAGAGTGTTTGGGTTGGGTGCTTTCTTGCTTCTCAATGATCTTTTCCTTCCAGAGTTCTAACTTCTTTCAATGTACAGGGACTTCCAACTCTGTATCTTTGGTCTTGAATTCTTATATTTAGACTAGAGGCCCGGTGCATGAAATTCATGCACAAGGAGTGGGAGGGGTGTGTGTGTCTCTCAGCCCAGCCTGCACCCTCTCCAATCTGGGACCCCTCTCACAATCCAGGACTGCTGGCCCCCAACCACTTGCCTGCCTGCCAGCCTGATCACCCCCTAACCACTCCCCTGCCAGCCTGATCGACGCCTAACTGCTCCTCTGCCAGCCTGATTGCCTCTAACTGCCCTTCCCTGCTGGCCTGGTTGCCACTAATTGTCCTCACCTGCAGGCCTAGTCACCCCCAACTGCCTTCCCATGCAGGCCTCATCGCTCCTAACTGCCCACCCCTGCAGGCCTGGTCCCTCCCAACTGCCCTCCCCTGCAGGCCTGATCTCCCACAACTGCCCTTTCCTCCTGGCCATCGTGTGTGTGGGAGTGATTGTCAATTTGTATATTACCTCTTTATTATATAGGATTTGTATTTTCCTTTGCCTACTGAAAATCTTTACATAAATCTCACCTACATCTCTAAATATATCATAAACCAGACTTATTTCCCCTGACATTCCTATTTCTGAAAAACTTAATTCTTTCAGTCAACTAAGTTTAAACTTTTTATCATTACTGATTTTTTAAAAATTTTAACTAGTTCCCAAGGAGCTATAGATCTTTTCATGGGGTCATTTTCTATCTGCACCCTTTTTCTTGAGTCTACTCTTTTTCAGATTTTTAATGCCTTTTGCCTGAACTATGGAAGTAGCCTTATATTTAAACTTCATTCTTTTCATATATGTAATCTGTTTTATATATCTCCACATTAGTCTTAATGTATGATTGTGGTTCTGACAGATCAGAAACTTTCATTGCATTCTTACTAATCTCCAAATTCTGTAGATTCTTTTGCCTTACATTGTCAGCATATAATAATTGACCTCAGTTATTATTGCCACCTGTATTCTCCAATCATTTCCTCATAATAAAGGTTCTCAACCTTTGCTGTATATTTATATCATCTAAGGCTATTTTTTAATGCTTGAACTGCTGTTCCCAGTGAGATGGAGAAAGCATACTCCATTCTAGCTTCTACTGCACAGCTATAAAAACAAGACAATGTATACAGCAGCTTTTTGTTGACTTAGAAAGATAAATAGTAGCAGACCAATTCAGGAAGACTAAAATTTAAGTACTATCCAACTGGCTGTGAATTTCTAGTTTTTCCTCTGGTATCACCCAAGCTAAACTCAAGGCTGACTAAACTGGAAGTGAGCACTAGGGCATGACAGAGTTAAAAGAAGCCCTCCAGTTCTGGAGCAGGAAAGGGGACTACTAAAGCTCCGAACATTAGAGGAAATGCTCCAGTTCTCTTTCTTTTCTCCTTTCTCATACCCCAGTCCATGCTGTCCTACAGGGATGAAAATCAGTGCAGCAAGTGGAGAACTCTGAAAGTGGGGAACCTTCCTCTCAAATAAGAGAGGTAGCACTCTCAAGAGGGTGGGCGTGTTGTGTTTTTGTCATTTTGTCCTTTGCTTGTTTCTGGAGAAAGATGCAATTGTAACTTTGCAGCAAAACCAGGTTACTAAAGCCCCCAATTTCTGCCAGAGAAACAAAAAGAGGAACCCTAAGGAACCCAAAATTGCAGAAAGAAAGAAGCTAACTAAAAACCTGATAAAGCTGTTTATGAGCTTTTGGGCTCACGCCTGATTAATCAAGAGTGGTTATACTAATACCTGTGAAAGATTTGTATAAGAAGAAAATTATAAGGGATAAAGAAGTACTTTACAAAATGATAAAAGTGTCAGTTTACCAGGAAGACTTAACAATCCTAAATGTGCATGCACCTAACAACAAAACTCAAAATATATGAGTCACAATCTGTCAACTAAAAGGAAAGGACAGAAGTGAAAAGATAAGCAAATCCACAATTATAGTGGTAGACTTCAGTGCTCCTCTCTAGGTAGTAAATAGAACTAGTAAACAGGAAATTATCAAGGATATAAAAGAACTGAATGATACCATCAACCAACTATTTAATGGGCATTTATGGAACAGTCCATCCCATAATGCAAGGAGGTGCTTATTCCAAAGGTAGCTAGAGCATTCATCACGATAGAACATCATGTTTAAAACAAATCTTAAATTTAAAATTAGTCATTCAAAGGGTGTTCTGTGACCATAATTTAATTAAATAACAAATCAATGAAAAATTAACAGGAATTTTTCCAAGTGGTTGAAAATTTAATACATTGTAAAAGAAAAACAGATAAAAGAAAAAGTTTCAAGGGAACAAGTTTTGAGGAACAAGGAAACTGAACAAAAATGAAAATACTCAGAATTTGTATTGTAAACCCAGAAGTTCATAACTTTATGGGGTGGTTTTACTGAGGTAATCTTTTCCTGATTTTTGTGGTACTTTCTCCATAAATTAATTGTGGCTTTTTTTTTTTCAAAGAAGGGAGAGGGGAGAGAGGTAAAAACATCAATAATGAGAGAGTATCATTGATTGGCTGCCTCCTGCACACCCCCCCCTGGAGATCGAGCCTGCAACCTGAGCATATGCCATGATCAGGAATCCAACTGTGACCTCCTGGTTCATAGGTTGACGCTGGACCACTGAGCCATGCCACCTGGGCAGTTGGCGCACATTCTTGATGAATGGACTATTAAGTAATAAGATGGAGAACTATTGATAATTGTAACAACTTTAATGAATTTCAGAGGCACTATGCTGAGTGAAAAGAGCCACCTCAAAAGGCTATATGCTTCCATTTACTGCATATGAAATCTTGGAAGAGACAGCTAAAAAGAAAATAGATCAGCCGGGCCAGCATTGCTCAGTGATTGAGTGTCAACCTATCAACCAGGAGATACCAGTTCAATTTCCGGTCAGGGTTTGTGTCCAGGTTGTGGGCTTGATTCCCAGCGTGGGGCATGCAGGAGGCAGCCAATCAATGATCCTCTCTCAACATTGATGCTTCTATTATCTCTTCCTCTCTGAAATCAATAAAAATATATTTTAAAAGAAATAAAGTAGATCAGGGATTGGCAGTGTTATCGTGGTGGATGACTACAAAAGGATAGGTAGCATGGGGATTTTTTTCAGACCTGACCAGCAGGCATTCCTTTTGAAATTTGCCATGTTATAAATTGAACTATTTTTCATTCTGTAACCCTATGTCTTGTTTTCTCATCTTCATTTCTTTGCCAGTGTAGTTGCCTTATTTTCACCTGTTTTTTATCCACCAGCTTTTACGTCATCTCCTCTTTGTAACTTTCCCTTGTCATCTTCCATTTCTACCACTCACTCAGATATGATGCCTCTTTCTCAAAAAT